TGTGCTTCTGCAGTAGCAGTATAGAGCGCGAGGCTACACTGAATACAACCAGCTGATATCTGTGCTCCTGGTAGTTGAACAGAACAATGAGCTCCTAATAAAAAACCATAATTCCCGACCTACTGGATCTGTTGTGTAAAACTAGCATTTCATATTCAATAAAAGTGGCATGTAAATTTCTTGTTATAACTTGCTTTTAACTCTGATTCCCTTACTCAGAGAGCATGGATAAAAATTATGGTCATTCTCAGAACATGAGAAATGGCAGAGATATCTGTATTGCAAACTGCACAACAACGTATACAATACTTCGAGATTGAAAGTATTTCTCAAGCTTGATGTTTACAAAAGTAAAGGTAACAACAATATCAGACCAATCAGATGTGATTGAAGGCTCAGGGGAAACCCATATTATGTTACCAAATGGAACAATATTATCCATACAGAATGCGTTGTACGCTACTCGATCTACTCGAAACTTGTTGAGTTTTAAAGACATACGTTTAAATGGATACCACATTGAAACGAAAAGTGCAGAAAATGTGAAGTATCTATGCATTACCTCCAATGATACCCAGAAACGTATATTGGAGAAGTTGCGTAGTTTGTCGAGTGGATTGTATTATACATACATAAAGACAGTTGAATCACATACTGTCATGAACCAGAAGTTCATTGATTTCAAAGTTTACATACTTTGGCATGACCGTCTGGGTCATCCAGGATCCACCATGATGCGTAGGATCATTACCAACTCTAATTGACATCCATTATTGAGCAGAGACATTGCTATCTCAAATGATAACCCTTGCAAGGCTTGTTCTCAAAGGAAAGTTGTAATTAGACCATCACAACTAAAGGTTGATGCTGAATCCCCATCATTTCTGCAAAGAATTCAAGGGGATATTTGTGGACCTATTCAATCATCTTGTGGACCATTTCGATATTTTATGGTTTTGGTTGATGCATATACCAGATGGTCACATGTTTGTCTCTTATCTACTCGGAATGTAGCTTTTGTGAGACTTATTTCTCAGATAACTAAGTTACGAGCATAGTTCCCAGATTATCCCATTAAGTCAATCTAACTTGATAACGCTGATGAATTTACGTCTCAAACTTTGGATGATTACTGCATAACATTGGGCATTGATGTTGAACACCATGTTCCTCATGTCCATACTTAAAATGGTTTGGCAGAAGCATTGATCAAGCGACTTCAGTTAATAGCTCGTACTCTGCTTATGAAAACCAAATTGCCAGTTTCTGCATGGGGACATGTCATCCTATATGCTGCTTCATTGGTTTGATTGAGACCTATAGCCAACCACCAATACTCGTCAATACAACTCGTGTTTGGACATCAGCTAAACATTTCATATTTACGAGTTTTTGGTTGTGCTATTTATGTGCCTATTGCACCCCCACAACGCACTAAAATGGGACCTCAGCTTAGACTGGGAATTTATGTGGGTTTTGATTCACCATCTATCATTAGATATTTGGAACCCTTGACAGGTGATATGTTTACAGCTCGTTTTGCTGATTGTCACTTTGATGAGACAATCTTCCCGTCATTAGGGGGAGAAAAGACCATTCCAGAAGAACGGAAATAGCTAACATAGGTTGTTCCCACCTTGTCTCATTTTGATCCTCGAAACATTCAATGTGAAAATGAAGTAAAAAGGATCGTTCATCTTCAAAGCATTGCCAATCAAATGCCAGATGCATTTAATAATGATATGAAAGTGACAAAATCACATATACCAGCTGCAAATGCACCTGCCAAAATTGATGTCTCTGTTGGACAATATAAAGTGGCAGCGAATGATTTATCTGGTGCATACCTAAAGCGTGGTAGACCACCATGTTCAAAAGATTCAGCCCCTCAAAAGAGAAAGATGAGGGCACAGCTGAATCCAAATGATATCATTCAGGAAGAGAGAATGAATGACAAATCCACAATTCATGATTCTGGACTTCTAGAAGAAGAAAATGTCCTTAATGAGACATATGTCCCTGAAGAGACAGCAGTACATGAGAGCAAAGAAATCTCCGTAAATTATGCATGTAATAATGAATTGTGGGATCAAAATGAAATAATCATTGACGATATGTTTGCATTCGCAGTAGCCACTGAAATCATATTAAGTGATGATCTTGAGCCCTGCTCTGTTGATGAATGTAAACAGAGACAAGATTGGCCTAAATGGAAAGGTGCAATCTAGGCAGAATTAAATTCCTTGGAAAGGCGAAGTGTTTTTGGACCAGTAGTCCAAACCCCGCTTGGTGTAAATCCTGTGGGTTACAAATGGGTATTCACAAGGAAACGCAATGAGAAAAACGAGATTGCAAGATATAAAGCAGGACTCGTTGCACAAGGTTTTTCACAAAGACCTAGAATTGATTATGAGGAGACATACTCTCCTGTAATGGACGCAATTACGTTCCGTTACTTAATAAGTTTATTGGTTTCAAAAAAGCTTAACATGCGACTTATGGATGTCATCATTGCATATCTATATGGAGAATTAGATACTAACATATATATGAAAGTCCCAGAAGGACTCAAGTCGCCTGAAACAGCTAACAAATCACAAGGTATGCTCTCGATCAAATTAAGGCGATCATTGTATGGGCTAAAACAATCTGGACGAATGTGGTATAATCGTCTCAATGAGTATTTGATCAAAGAAGGGTATATCAACAATGTCATTTACCCTTGTGTGTTCATTAAGAAATCCAACTCTGGATTTGCTATAGTGGCAGTATATGTCGATGATATGAACCTAGTTGGAACTCCTGAAAAGTTACATAAAACTGCTGAATATCTGAAAAGCGAATTTGAAATGAAAGACCTTGGAAAAACGAAATTTTATCTCGGCCTGTAGATCGAGCATTGTTCTAGTGGAATTTTGGTCCACCAATAAGCTTACATTGAAAAAATCCTGAAGCGATTTGGTATGGACAAGGCTTATCCACTCAGCACACCAATGGTCATTCATTATCTAGACATTAAGAAAGATCAATTTCGTCCAAAAGACGATGATGAAATGGTCATTGGTCCAGAAGTACCATATATGAGTGCAGTATGTGCTTTGTTGTATTTAGCACAATGTACTAGACCAGATATATCTTTTTCAGTCAACCTGTTAGCTAGGTATAGCTCTGCTCTAACAATCCGTCATTGGAAGGGTGTCAAAGATGTATTGCGATACCTTCGTGGGACAACAGATATGGGTATCTTCTACTAAAAAAAAACTCCACAAATGACTAGGTTCTTGTCGGATATGCAGATGCTGGTTTCCTCTCTGATTCGCAGAAAGCCCGTTCACAAACTGGATATGTGTTCAAGAATGGAGATACAACAATCTCATGGCACTCAACAAAGCAAACATTAGTTGCTACATCTTCAAATCATTTAGAAATACTTGCTTTACATGAAGCAAGTTGTGAATGTTCTTGGTTAAGATCAATAATCCATCATATTTGGAATTTATGTGGTCTACCTTCAAAGACAGACACTCCAACTGTCATTCATGAAGATAATGCAGCCTGTGTTGCCCAAATGAAGAAAGGATTCATCAAGGGCAATAAAACTAAACACATATCTCCCAAGTTTTTCAGTGCACAGGAGCTTCAGAAGGCTAAAGTTATTGAAGTCAGACAAATTCATTCTAATGAAAATGTTGCAGATTTGTTCACCAAATCTCTACCAAAATGCACGCTTCAGAAGTTAGTGCAAAGTATCGAATTGCGTCGACTTACCAAACAATTAAATTTGGAGAATGCGGAATCAGTGGGAGATACATATTATGGGGAGCATCGATGATACATGCTTGTTGTACTCTTTTTCCTTCGATTAGGATTTTTCCCACTGGTTTTTCCTATCAAGGTTTTAACGAGGCAACATAAGCATACTTAACACTATATCAACAATCCAGGTAAAGTTGTACTCTTTTTCCTTCGCTATGGTTTTTTCCCACTGGGTTTTCCCAAGCAAGGTTTTAACGAGGCAACTGATGTTGATATGTGGGCATCCAAGGGGGAGTGTTGAAACCATTTGTAGTTGAAAACATTAGCTGATGAAACCATCTATCTGATGAATGCCCACATAAGTTCTTTGTCAATACCTACACAAATATGATGAAGACTTTGGAAACAAAATGTTGTAATTTCAAACTTTAAGAATTTGTCGTATGGATTCGCTCTATAAATAGAGCACTCCTACTACCATCGATGTATATACAGAGAGAACATACAGAACGAAAGAAATCTCTTCCTCCATCTTTTATTTGTCATTCACTTGATCTATAGTTTTAGTGTGATATTTTACATCTGCTTCGCACCTATTTAAAAGGTTATCCCTCTAACTTTTACATATTTATAACACGTTATCAGCACGAGTCTCTAAATATAACTATTTCTCATTCCTCTTCGCCGAATGAAAATAAATTGATTGAATGAAAAATTTCAGTAAAATCAACAAGAAACAAACCTGTTTGTCGGATTCAGGTTTAGATTCAAATTCAGAGCTAGCATCATCTTTGGCAATAGCACTAGGGACTAATCACTGTTGTACTGCTTTGGAGATCTTGAAATCGATGGAGATGGCTGCGCTTGAGCTGGGGTCGAAGGGACAGCGGGTTCAATTGTTTTTGGGGTCCAGAAGAGGAGGTGGGGACGATTAACAGAAAAAATAACGAATGTTTGACATTACAACAAATTTGTAAGATGAGGTATGACATTATAATTTTTGATGAGGTATGCCTTATAATCAAAAACGTTAGGGCCGGGCATTGTTCAGGTTGGATTGGTTTCACAAAAAATTACGACCAAACCAATGACATTATAATAGCTTTTCTTTCTTTTGCCTTTTTTTTACAATATTGTTAGCCAAAATTCAACATTTCGTCAATCTTCAAAATTTCACTAACATTAAATTCAACATTCTTATCTGGTTACTGCGGCTTGAAATTGTGTTTCGTACCAAGGGCTGGATGTATGAATTTCATAAGTGGCATAAGCCAGAGGCGAGGAAGGCAAGCCGAGAGCATCAGAAGTGGGGGAGACCTGTGGAGGGGTGGGTTAAGTGCAACTTCGATGGAGCTTGGAACAATAGAAGTAACCGGGGAGGTTTTGGGGTGGTGATTCGAAATCATTTAGTGGAGTGTCTTGTCGCTGCTATTGGGCCCATTGAGAGGGCAAACTCTGCATTGCATGTTGAATTCTTTGTAGCTCGTAAAGTTGCAGTATTGGTGGGCACTATTTGTACGGTGGAGGGGAAGATTCAGTTCGATGGAGACTCTGCGTTGGTGTTGGCTACCATGCAGGGGAGTGGGGACGACAACTCTACCTTAGGTCCTATAATCAGTGATCTGGGATGCCTTCTCATGGAGTGGTCGGATTCGGTGGTTAGTCATATTCAACGGGAAGGGAACTCGGCAGCCTATCAACTTGCTCAGATGGAAATTAATAGTGCTCAGGAGGTAATGTGGTTTGAGGAGCCTCTAGATTTGATCCAAGATATACTTCTAGGCGAGGGATTGTAATTCTTTTCCATTGTTCATTTGAGGATAGTTCTCTTGTTGTGCAAGACACTCTTTTCCTTCTACTGGGTTAAAATCCCCAGAAAGGTTTTTATCGAGACCCATTATGCGCACTATCCTCAATTTGTACGAATTCTGATTTACTTAATGAATATCGTACATTTGCTTCAAAAAAATAAAAATAAAAAACCCATTTTTATTTCAACCAGTAAGAGGATACATCTAAAATAAAAACTCAAAACTACAGCCGAACCAACTTATTATACGATTCCATTCGATTTTCAACCATTTGATTATTCTTAAGAAACACTTAATTGTAATAATGGTTTCTGAACGTTACTCCTAGTTTAATTTTGGTCTGGTCTCTAAACTCTCATATTAGTTTTTTAATCTTCGAACTCTACAATGTGTTGTACCATTGATCATTTTCATTAATGCCATCATTTTTTTTTTGTTAAATTTAGGAGTATATTAGGAACTTTATCCCACATCACTAAAAATGAAAAAAAAAAAATCTAATAAACCAGATTTTTTTTTGTGTGTGTAAGAAAATTGAATAGATAACCATTTTCTCCGTAGCTTAATATGTGATTAGTTAGTTATTTAAGTCCAACCACAATTCGATCTCCTTTGAAATCGCATTGCCTAATATTTACAAGTTGCTAAAGTCCAACCATTTTCATTTTGTATTTTTATAGTTCAATTTTCATTTGCTTTAAGTTTTAGATATTAACTAGATAGTGATGTCCGCATGTTGCTGGGGGATTATAAATTGGATGGATAATTATATTTCTAACATTGCAGTATATAAATTTTAATTAATAAGTGTGTGCAAAGAAGCAATTTGTCATGATATAGTGAATATTTGCTAAACTATGCCATGAGATCGTCTTACTGGGGATGAAAAGAAATTTATACAAACAATTAGAAATCATATAACTGTAAATGCCAAGTCCTGTGATCTAATGGTTAAAAATTATGTAAATCGTTTTATCTATCAAGAAATGAAAAGCATATGGAAAGTGAGTAGTTACTTGAGCGGAGAGTTTAGATAATGATTTTAGGAGCGGCAAAAGTTTTGTTGGATTGTGCTGGTTGCAAAACATGTCTTCTTTTTGCACACAGAGAAGTTTCAAATGTATTTTAAGATTATTAGGCTAATTCAGATTTATAACATTTGAGGCAGAAAATAAAAAATTGAAATAGATATTCACTTTTTAACACTCGAAAACCTGTAAGCCAGTGGCTCCAAGATGAAAAAAAACCCCTACATAAACCCAAATCAACTAAGTTACAAAACAACTAAATATGCAAACAACATAATATTCTGTGTAGTGATCTAGTTTTTTTATTTTGTAATTAAATTTGTTTGTACCGTACTTGACCAATCCCGAAACTATTGAGCACCGGTCAACGTTATACCGTCAAGGACCTAGAAGAGTTTTCCTCCAACTAGGAGGCCAATCACAGCGCGACATGTGTCGACATCAGAAGCCAATCATAGCGCGATACGTGTCAACGTCAGAAGTCAATCACAAGACGACACGTGTCAATGTCAGAACAAAGCTAGAAACTTTCTTTTATAAAAGGAGATCATTCTCCCACAATATTTGCTAATATCATTTGTACTAAATCATTCACTAGTACTCACTAAATGAGAGCTTGAACCTATGTACTTGTGTAAACCCTTCACAATTAATAAGAACTCCTCTACTCTGTGGATGTAGCCAATCTGGGTGAACCACGTACATCTTGTGTTTGCATCCCTGTCTCTATCCATTTACATACTTATCCACACTAGTGACCGGAGCAATCTAGCGAAGATCACAAACTTAACACTTTCATTGTACCAAAGTCCTCACTGATTTTGTGCATCAACAAAATTTAATCTCAAATTTTTGCCCAACAATGGAACCATCAGAGATTGTGCAACAAGAGTTTAGCAAACACCATAAGAGAATGGGGATAAATTGAATACTAATACATACACATCTATCTATATAGTACAACTAAAAGAAACTAAACATGTAACATAATTTCTTACATGTTAGTAGAGAAATTAAACCCTAATATGTTAGTAGAGAACAATTTCTTACATGTTTCAATATATCCAGAAAAAAATGGTTCTTTTTCCTTAATGACATGGACACTTGCAACACCCCTATAGAAATAAAAAATAAAAAAAAACTTGAAAAATTAAAGGGAAATGATTAGACCCAATACTCTCTAATGAATTGGCAAATTGAATTGGGGTTTAGATAAATTGGCAAGAATAAAAATAATGCATTCAAATACATGAACATAAGATATTAGAACAACAACAAAATCATGAGAATTCAACTTTGCAATAAACTCTGGATCCCAAAACAAAATGAATTATCCCTTCTCTATTTCCTTAGCTAGCCACCACTCTCAAAATTCCTCAATCCCTTATATCTCACAATGATAAACACATGCATGTCCATTTCAGCTCTTAAACTCAAAAGAAATGTTAGGGTTTCTTATTTTCTTACACAAATCCACCAATTTGAATCAAATCTCTGCAACACAGATGTGCAACTATCAATGGTTCTTCTTCCGCATCTTTTTCAGAAGAATAGAACCAACTGTACAAAGGCTAAAATTGTTTCTCAATACCATTTGGCATCTACATCCAAAATATTGAAGAAATGAACTTAATGATTATGCAATGCAAGTGTGATATGGTTGATTGGTGCTTGATGTGAAGGACATTCAACCACGTTTTAAGATGCAATATGGACCAAGAAATGAGAATGACGAATATGTGCTATGATGGGCGAGATTATATAATTGCTAAAATTTTGGATTGAAGAAAATATAGTACTTACATAGAGAAAAAGGTTCACCTTGAACACTCCATGTCCAGTGAATGAGAAACTCACTATGAAAGTTGCAAAGAAAAGATTAAATGGCATGAACTCAACTCATTTTGTGGGAAAAGGCTTTGTTGTTGTTGAACTCAACGCATTTTGTCTTGATCACCAAATTTTGAAGAAAAAAAAGGGCATGAGTGAGAACAAATTCAACCATCTAAGAACAATCTGAATGAGGATCATTCGACACAAAGTTATGATGACAATCAATGGCAAACATACATGAAAATTAGTGAAGCAGTACTCAAGTATCCAACGAATAATTGCCTCCCATTGTAGGTAGTCCAAGAACTTAAGCTGACAAAGACAATGGACACCAATAGAACAAAAACTGCAATTAATTAACAGTGTCAATATCCTCATCTACAATAAACATTTTAAAGAACAACAAATAGTTAGTAATGCAGAGTTGTAAAAGGTACCTTAATAAGAAGAGATGCATGTAGAGCTCTTTCAGCATAAGAAATGAAAATGCTCAAGTAGGCTAACTAGAAGGCAGTCCAACTGAATTAGAACATTCAACAAAATTATTTTGTTAACTTGTCCATGATAAATCTGTTAAATGTTCACCTAGAATAGAACATCAATGATTCAATAATCAGTAGGGAAGTGCAAAATATTGAATATTAATTCAGTCCAGGAACTAAAAATTTCATAAATGGTTCTTAAATATTGAACCCTAAAAGTTAAAACATCAAAGATAACATATTTGAACAATGAAAGATCAAGTCAATTACGCACCCAAGGTTAGTACAACATGAAGCACAACCACTTTGCATCACTCATAGAGAAATTCAAAATTTTAACAAAACCCCATTAGTCAAAATTGAAAATTTCATAAAAATTGAGAAAGAAACACAAATTTACTGATAAAATTCAAGAAATTTAGTCAAATCCAAAACACAAAAATCCAAATTTCATAAGAAAATCAAGAAAAAAATATTAAAATTACTGGTAAAAATCAATAATTTTTTTCTTCTAAATATACCTTGTGAGAATTGCAGCACTGCTTTGTGAGATATAAAGGAGGCAACTTTGGAATCAAAAGTATCAACGTTGGCCGCGACGAACTTGTCCTCGGAACTTCAGAAACCCATATAAAAAAAAATCAAATTTTCATTCTATAGACGTAAAATTATAGCAGAAATCGATTATATGTATGTACATAACTGTATACATAGATATACTTGTGGAAGAAACAGAGCAGATGACCCACTGAGAGGAGAAAGGTTGATTTGAAGCTGCTATGAAAAAATTCGTCAATGGGGTCAAGCTACCTCTCTAAAAATGAAACAGTCCCTACAAAATTCAAGGCTCAAAAATAAAATAAAATACAAATTCAGAAGAAATCTGAGAACAAATCATGCCGTCAAACAAATATGAGAAAAAAAAAGAAATAAATTCAAGTAAAAATTACTTACCCACAAACCCAAACCACATCTCTAAACATTACACACCGCAAAACTCTAGAAATCACCAGAATTGAAAACCAGCGCCACTGGATATTGTGTTATAGATATCCTCTGCAATTCAAAGTGCATAAACTATAACTAACTAGTCATCAGATAAAACTGATCGAAATATGATTTTGAAGGGAGATAATAGGCATATCTTGGAGAACAAAGAGCTCCTAATTGGCAAACTAAATTATTTTAATTATTTTGGCCGGTTAAATGCTAAATTATTACTTAAGTAATTATATATATTAACAGGAGAGAAATAGAGAGTCGCAAATAAAATTATCGGAAGAATCACCGTGAATTCAAAGCCGCTTGAAGTTTTGAAGAAGGTCGTAGATCGTAATTAGCGTTATTGACCTTACGAATCTTGTCGGGTATCGTTGACAGAGTGCTTCTCGAAACTTTGACCATTGGGGAGTTATGTTCTATTTCTACTGGATGAATTTTGGTCGCTTTGAGAGAGAGAGTTGCGCAGGAAAGTTAAAGTAGATGGAGTTGACGAAGGGTAGCTATATTGGAGTTGACGAAGGGTAGCTAAATCAGAGTTGTTGACGATAACGGCAAACGGAGAACGAAGGGTTTCTAGTGATCATGCTTTCTGGAAGCGAACAGTGCTTTGTCGTAGCAGAAGGTGCAGCGATGGGGACAAAATCGTCTTTTTCATATGTAGAAGTGGTAAAAAATGGCTGATAACAAAGGAATTGGAGGGTACTTTAGTCTGTTTACTTTTAATGAACAGTATTTTTGTGTTGGGTTTTAGTATAGGTATATTTTATAAATTTTCATTTGTGAGCTTCTTCTATTGATTTTTGAAGATATAAGTTGATGAAGTTCCTATTATACCTCTAGATTTAACGGAAAAAAAGACAGCGTTAGAGAAAATGACCAATGATGCAGTGCAACACATTGTTAAGTTTGAGAGCTAAAAAAACTAATTTGAGAGTCCAGAAACTAAAATTAAACTAAAAGTAAAGTTTATAACTATTGTTACAATTAATTAAGCTCCTAAAAAAATAATAATAAACCGGTCACCGTGATTCGGTTCGGCCAGTTTGGTCCATACCAAATTGATGGACGGCCCCACTCTACCGCACTCCGATTCATATCCAACGCCTGTAAAAGAGATCAACCCAACGTTGTTAGTTTACACCAAGATTTAGTGGGCCCCACCCCACCAAGTTCCCCCTCCTTTTCTCTTTCAAGTTTCAGGCCAACTTCTTGTGTGTTACATAAGGAGTCGGAGCGCGGAAGAAAATTCGCAAAATTTTACAAAATCAAAGTTAATTCGAGGAATTTCGACGATCACGATTGAATCAGAAAATGTCGTGGCAGGCGTACGTCGATGATCACTTGATGTGCGACATCGACGGCCACCATCTGACCGCCGCGGCCATCCTCGGCCACGACGGTAGTGTGTGGGCCCAGAGCTCCACCTTCCCTAAGGTTCTCTCACATTCTTCAACTTTCTCTTTTTCCGATTACTCTTCATTGTCATTTTATTATTTGATCTGTGCTCTGTTTGTTTCCTCGGAAAACTTCAATTTTCTCGGAAAATGAAGTAATTGGATTGCAGATGCGGGACTTGTGAACCTAATGGATACTGATTTCAACATTTCAATTCAGATTCTGATAGGAATGGATTTTTTTTTTCTTAGTGATGATCGATATGGTTTGTGAATTGTGATTGATATTTTCTGTTTGGTTGCTGAGAAAATGTTCTCCGTTGTGGTAGTTAGTGAGTGATGGAGACTAATATTGGTTTGCTTATTTTATTATTTATGTGCAGTTTAAGCCGGAAGAGATTACGGCGATAATGAAAGATTTTGATGAGCCAGGGTCTCTTGCCCCAACTGGATTACACCTTGGTGGGACAAAGTACATGGTTATTCAGGGCGAGGGCGGAGCTGTGATTCGTGGCAAGAAGGTTTGTTTATTTTGTTCCTCTCCTTCATCATACACTAATTGGTCATTGATGTCATTGCTTTGAATTCTTTTTGGTGTAATTCGGGTTAGGTGTGTGTATTTCGAATGAAAACAATGTTTTCGAGAAAATTCCCTATATAAGTAGAAGAATTTACATGGAAAAACCCTACATTTTCAAGAAATCGCGTCTTTAGATTAGGCTTGCATTTCTCAAATGACAAGTGAAAAGGAAATGGGGTCATTTTATGTTCATGTAATGGATCTGGCTGTAAAGTGTAAAGGAATTAATTCACTCATGAACAGCTTACTGTTTTTTTGCTCGATCCCATGGCTTCTTAATCGTCACCATGTGAGCTTTTAGGCAGAGCTTCATGGGTCTCAATTTGTGTATTTTAGATTATACAATTACATATCAAAATCATGTTATAGATACTCAATGATATGTTTTATATATATAATTGTTCCCCAATTGAGCGTAATTCTCAGGCTGGTTTGAGTTTGGATCTAGACTCCTGGAAATGTAGTGGCTGAGCTTGAGTTTGCTAGCAGGCAAGACTCAATTTAAGTTCTAATAATAGCCATTTGTAATTGAAGATGTGGACGGTTTATTTGATAGTTTATGAAAGAAAGGTTCTTTTCAGGTCATTATTTGAGAATATAGGATTATTAGCCTAAATTGCTCATAAAGGTTTGCAATGAAAACTGTAAAGCAGTATACGTGCACCCATGTCATAAGTAGTGGTCCTCATGGTTGTTTCAGCTTTTTGACTTATAAAATTGTTCACCATCGATTCCATCTGTTGAAGTTTCTTCATATTGCAGTCAACATTCTGCCTTCTCATCTGTTGATTATTATAGGGCTTTAGATAATGGTCTTTCCTTAAAAGAATAATAATAGAGCTTCAAGAGTCCCACAGGTGGACCGCTTAAATATTCCTCTTCTGTGTATCCCGATTTCCTTTTGGGTTCTTTGTTTTAAATTTTAATTAGTCCCTCTCGATAATAGTCTCACATAGCTAAAGTACACAAACACATGGTTGTCTAATTGCATATGATTTATCTGCTGTAAAGTTTACTACCAAACTCTTCCCAACAAGAGGATGCCCCTCATGATTATGAGGTCCCTAACTTTGCGGAAGGAGCTACGTACACTTGCAACCACCGAAGCTAATTTACACCGAATTGCCTTTTTCATGTGCCTTTATGATGTATTTCTTGCTGTCTATGCAAAGTGTTTCTGGTCTATGTGTTATGACATGCTGGATTTGATTTCCTCTGCAGGGCTCTGGTGGCGTAACTGTGAAGAAAACCGGCCAAGATCTGGTTTTCGGTATATATGAGGAGCCTTTGACTCCAGGACAATGTAATATGATTGTGGAGAGGTTGGGAGACTACCTGATTGATCAAGGCCTATAACTCATATCACCGTCATGATTTTCATACACTGAAGTTGTCTCTTTCGGCTTGCATATACTTGCTGGTTATATGGTTTGAATTGGCACTGTTGGTGGTGTTACTGAAAATAACCGTGCGCAGACGGATGCGTTGCCTTTTGGTGTTCAAGGATTTGTTCATTTCTCCGATTTTTGTGTGTTTCTGAATGTGTGCATTTATTCGCTTAGATTCGCATGTGGTCATGGTTTTATATCAGGATATTCCGTCAAAAAGACTTTGGGTTCGATTGAGATGTTTATCATCCAATCGCGACAAGCAGATATCCAACCCTATAAGTACAAGACTCAGTGCAACGAAATGACCCCTTCCAATTCAACACACAACTCCCTTGCGCAAATTCTCTCAACAACCTTGAGATTTTTTCTTTTCTCATTTCGCCGACACACCTTCAGTTTGGATAAACAGCACTGTGAAGGCAACCGGTGATATCTTCAGTTGGCATAAACAGCATTGTCGCCGTAGAATCATTCGATCTCGCAGCATCTTCAGTCGGCATAGACAGCACTGTGTCGAGGGCGATTGGTTATCTATCCAAGTCTCGGTCGAGAAGGATTTCCGAATCCTTATTGGTTGAGGTCATCTCATCAGCCTTCTCGGCGAAGTGAGGTGTTACAGTTTATTGGGCTCGGCACATTGCACGCCGAGTTATTTTATGATTGGATACTCTCAAGTGGGATTTAGAGTTTAGCACTTTGACGGCCGAACCACGTTTACATTAAGACTTATATCCGCTTTAAGTATTTGTGCCCTTACACTTTGGTGTCGATTCGGTGTGAGTTTACTCTGACGAATACCATCACTGTGACCGAATCCAACAACGACGATCTGTGAACTTCGTAAGAATAGTAGCCTTGTCTTCAGGTTCGAGAACCCAAGAGGCCGAGACGTGTTCCTTCCTCGGTCGCAATCGCAAGACACAGAAGTCAGACACACACCCAACGCAATATCAACACATTTTACTCCTCGACCGAACTCGGCCGACGAGTTGGCACGCCCTACATTTAACCAAAGAACGTAGTTAGCTCATAGATTACTCGGCCTGCGCGCTGCGTAGGCTTAGTAGTTTTTAGGGTCAACAAAACCCAAATAAAAAAAAATCAAATTTTCATTCTATAGACGTAAAATTATAGCAGAAATCGATTATATGTATGTACATAACTGTATACATAGATATACCTGTGGAAGAAACAGAGATGATCGACTGAAAGGAGAAAGGTTGATTTGAAGCTGCTATGAAAAAATTCGTCAATGGGGTCAAACTACCTCTCTAAAAATGAAACAGTCCCTACAAAATTCGTCAATGGTGTAGTTTGATTGATGTACTAGGATTTCATCCGAACAATGCTCAATCTCCAAGCCTAGACAATATCAAGATCTTTCATCTCAAATGCTGATTTCAAGTGAACATCAATTTCCTCAAGCTTTGCGGGAGATCCGATGAGATTCATGTCGTCAACATAAACTACAACGATCGCAAATCGGAAATGTGACTTCTTTATGAACACACATGGGCATAATTTGTTGTTCACATAACCCTAACTTGTCAAATATTCACTCAGACGGTTATGCCATATTCGGCCGAATTGTTTCAATCCGTAGAGTGATCTCCCCAATTAAATAGAGAAAGTGTTCAGTGGTCTAGAACTATTTAAACCAGTCAATGGAAGTCCTTTTGGAACTTTCATGTAGATTTCCGTATCTAGATCCCCATAAAGATACAAGGTTACCAAGTCCATAAGCTGCATATTCAGTTTTTCGAAAACTACCATACTGATAAGGTAGCAGAACGTTATGATGTCCATTACAAGGGAATACATCTCCTTGTAATCAATCTCAGGATGTTGAGAAAAGCCTTATACTCTCTATTTCTAGCCCTCTGAAATTAACAGATTTAGGGGAAGAGCGCTATGAAGCGTGCTTTGTATCGCATTATTTCATTATTCACATTACGCTTCCTCATGAAAACCCATTTATAGCCCACAGGCTTCACATGTGGTGGGGTAGGAGTTATAGGTCAAAACACCAAATCTAATCAAGTTCAACCTGGATTGCTTGTTTTCAATTTGACCAATCCGTTCTACGTCGGCATTCATTAATGGAACGTGGTTCAATGTCATCGCTAAGCATGATGTCAGTAGTTACTGTGTACGTAAATGCATCGTCAACGATCATCTCATTTCGATTCCAAACCTTATCCAATACTGCATAGTGGATCAAAATCTCACGATTCTCGAGATATCGGGTTGCTTCATCTAAGACATCACCGTAATCTATAATAACCTTATGTTTTGGAACAGATGAGTGAGCAATGGTCAGATTCAAACTAGGGTCACTATTTTGTGTCGTTTTCCTTTTCTGGGGTTATAAATCCTTTGAACCATAGGGTCTGCCACAGTTCAGGGTAGGAGTAGATGATTGGCTAGCCGCCAATGTACCAGGCCGCGTGAAAGGTGTGGCCTCCCTACCTTCGGGGACGGTTCGATCTAACCAGGTGGTATTACAGCATACTCGAGGTCAGTTATCCTTACATGTGTGTTTATAGCAAGTATATGTGATCTTGTCACCTTTGCTACAACAGTAAAAACATCTGGCATGCTTTGAAGATCTATAATTCGTCGCATTTCAGTTTCATACTGGGCAGTGAGGAGATCTAAATGAGACATAGTGGGAGCATACCACAACAATTTGCTATGTTTTACAGGAACGTTAACATGCTTGTCTCCCCCCTAACGACGGGAAGATTGTCACGTCAAAGTGACAATCCACAAAACGTGCAGTAAAGAGATCTTCTGTAAAAGGCTATAAATAGCGAATAATTGATGGCGAATCATAAGCGTCATAGATTCCCATTTTTCTCTAAAACCCCATTTTGGTACGTAGTGGCGACGTTATTGGTACATATACCGCGCACCCAAACATATGTAAATGCAAGATGTCAAGCTCGTATCCAGTAACCAACTGTAACAGTGAATGAGGTTGCGTAGCGATGGGCCTCAGGCGGACCAATGTAGCTGTGTGCAATATTGCATAGCCCTAGGCAGATGTCAGCAGTTTGGTTCGCATAACCAAAGTCTGAGTTATCAATTGAAGGTGTTTTATGAAAGCTTCTACCAAGCCCTTTTAGGTGTGAACATAGGGTACATGATGTTCAACTTCAATCCTAACTGACATGCAATAGTCGTCAAAAGTCTATGACGTAAACTCTCCAGCGTTATCCAGTCAAATTGACTTGATCAGATAATTAGGGTGGTGAGCCCTAAGCTTAATAATTTGTGCTAGGAGTTTTGCAAATGCAGCGTTGCGTGTGGACAATAAGCAGACATGTGACCAACGTGTCGATACATTAACCAACACCATAAAGTCCACAAATATCCCATTGAAGCCTTTTGAATCCTTTGAATCCTCTGAAGAAACTTATAAGGGTTGTGAATAATCTTTGTAATTGAGGGTTAAGTATTCAACTTCCCCAAAGAACAAGCTTTGCATGGTGGGAATCCAACGTAAGGAGGTAAATGATGCCCATGTGATGATTTGAGGATATGGCGCATCATGTCACGTCCGGGATGTCCTATACGGTCAGGCCAAAGCAATAAAGTGCTACGGATTCTCGCCATGCACATGTCAAAGCAGTAAATGATGCCCATGTCGCGTCCGGGTTGGCCACATGGTGGTTCTCTATGTTACAAATAGTTGTGATGTTCAATCCACTTGGGAAACGTTCCAGCTTCTTGTCAATACGTTTCTGGCCATACTCGTAAGAAGTGATACAAAGAAATTCAGATCCATTCTCTTTAGTGGTTTCAATATGATATTGATTATCTCGAATGTCTCTAAAACCCAACAATGTTCTTTCGGAACGTGGAATGTGGAGGCCTTTTCAACGGTTAAGACATTACCATTAGACAACATTATACGAGCCTTTCTGTATCCTTCAATCAGGTTGGATGAGCCTGAGAGGGTTGTCAGAGGTGCTTTCTTAGGTACAAAGTTAGTAAAATAATGTCGCTCACACAATGTGGTATGTGTAGTAGCACTATCAGCCAGACAACTAACTTCCCTACTAGACATGCCTAAAATAAATTGATTGAATTGGTCACATGCATAAATATAATTCCATTCATTCAATTAATCAATTCGAGAAATAATATCCATAAAATAATTATCTATAATTCAAAGCAAACCAAAACCAAACAAATTATTATAAATACTTAGAAAAATTGTCCAAAAATTAAACCATAAACCTAAAAAATAGAAGGGGTTTCAACCACACCTAGTGGGTTCGGCCAGTGGCGAAGTTAGGAATTGTCGGGAGGAGGGGCGAACTTAAAAGGAGTGCAAAGGTTAAAAAATGACAAACCAACGAGGGATAAAACATCAACTGTTGCTAACTTTCCTTGGCATGATGTGAGATTTAGGTTGACAAGGGTTATTTTGGAGATAGTGTCTACGAATTGCTTCGCGATAATTAAGTGGATAATCAACCATTCGATGTCTATGTCCAAGGTCTTATAGTATCGTTTTATTACGTATCTTTATAATGGAAATAAAAAAAATCTTAAACTCTTAATCCTAAAGCAGACTATACTAATATGACTAATAACTAATTAAACTAACAATTCAATTAATCAATACCAAAAAATTCAATTCAACTAATCAATATGAATAAGCATATACATTATTCAATAATTCAATTAATCAATCAATAATCAAGAATTCAACTTTTACCGTAAACAACAATTTCATTCATCAATACTCATAGAATTGATATTGATTATCACTAATCAATAATCATATTAGTGTATTATCCTATAATTCTATATTAATTAAATAAAAATAATCAATTAGAATTTGAAATAATATAAATTTAGAAAATAAAAAATTTACCTCAAATTTGGGAAAGGGCTGCTGGCGTGGCGTTTAAATGCTTTATAAGATTGCGGCATAGTGGAACACATTTGAAAATTGAACGGGTTGGATAGGAAAGGCGACAGTGGTCCCTACTCAATTTTTTTTTTTTCACATAGCAAGTAAAACGATGCCGTTTTACTTTTAAAATTAAAAAACAGAAGCCCAGCACTGCTCGCAGGAAGCAACTCAGCAATATGAACAAACAGAACAACCACCATGT